CGGCAACAATTTCCTTTCCTTTACCTTTGTTATCAAAGGTGGCTAGTTGTGAAAAATATATATAAATAAAAATTTTATTTATATCGATATCAGTGAATATATAATTAATAAAAATTACCAGGATTACTTGACTCTCCAGTAGCAAAGGTGGCTGGTTGTAAAAAAATATATATATCAATATATAAAAATAAAAATTTAATACATATACTTATATCGATATCAGTAAACATATAGTTAATAAAAATTAATCAGCTCTTTACTTGTCCCACCGGTATTGATCATATCAAAGGCGGCTGGTTGAGCAACTTTTTTTTTTACCAAATTCAGAATTACTATTAGTAGTTATTTAAACCAATAAGACCATACAAATTTATATACTTTGGGATGAATGAACAACATCCAACTATACGTTGGTTTTTTTGCCCTTGTTTCTTGTTCTATATTTTTTGGGTGGTAAAAATTCAATTCGGATATTTGTTAAACAAATGTCAGAAGGTTCTGGAATTATATAAGGATGACTAGTACCATGATGGCCCTTACTGTGTTTGCGCCCACTTCCACGTTTGCGCCCACTTCCACGTCTGTGACCATTTCCATGCCCACACCCACACCCATGAAGAGAATCTCGCCCTTTTTGCTTATTAGTGCTACCGGCACTTAATCTTGGACAGCCACGATGAGTATGCAGGGTTTTAGACGAGCTTGCACAGATTTCTTCCTCTAACTCTTCACTTTCTGGTTCTTCGTCCTCTGACTTTTCACTTTCTGATTTTTCATTACTTGATTCCTCTTCACCACTCAATTCTTCATCATATTCTAATATATCTTGACTGTTATTATCATTAGGATTATAATGACTACTTGCATCATCAACTAACAACAAAATTTTTTAGTTTGCTAAACAAAACTGTTCATCAAGTTTTGAGATCTATTCACAGAAGATGTCGGTTCGCATCCAACCCTTTAAATTTGCTCGATATATTACAGGTAATGCATCGTAATTCAAGTGGACTAAAGTATAGGGTTCAATGGATGATCCAATTACTATAAGTTTTAACTTTTCAGTTCTTGTCGCATTTGCAGCTAGCATGACTGTAATACATGAGCGATCCTAAAATAATAATTTATGACTAAAACTATACTTGCCAAACTATTATAGTTTAGATTTTTTATGCCCAAATTCTAGCCAAACTAATATGGCGCAAATCATCTAAATAAATCTAAATTGTATCTCTGTGCCGATTAAAATCCTGACAAGCACAATCCCGACAGGTCATAATCTTGACAAGCAGACCAACAAAAAAATCCTGACAATTAAAAATCCCTACAGTCAGGATTTTTAAGTAAAAATCCTAAATATGGGATATTTTTAAAGCGAAGTAGTCTCTTATAATTTAATTAACTTTAGGGTTAGGTCACTTTAGATAAGGGTTAAGCTAGGTTAGCTATGATTTATGATATTTTTCATCAGAATTTTTAATTGTCGAGATTTTTAACTATCAGATTTTTGGCTATCAGGATTTTTTTGTCAGGATTATGACCTGTTGGGATTTCGCTTGTTGGGATTTTGACCCAAACCCCT